TCATTCTAAGCATTTGTTACAGAAACTTTTTTCTTTAGAAAAATTTTCATTTTTTTTAAATAGTCGGCAACTTTTGCAATACTTTAGTTCACTTGACATTTGTGACGATTAATAAGTAAAGAAAAATTATTTTTATTAAATTGATTATTAAAAATACAATAATAATAATCATCATCATTATTACTAATAATTAATGCTCATTTTAAATTTAAGCTTAGATATGTAACTTTTTTTGGGGGGATACTAGGTTCATGAAGCAACTTAACGATCTAGAGTTGAATATTAAACTTCTGATTGCCGCAGTTATCCAAGTGACATAACACATGACTCCGAAAGAAAGCAAAACATCCTAAGTTAAAGAAATAACAGTATTAAGAGTTAGAGTTATCGATCTAGCCAAATCAACTAATAAGCCAAAAGGATATAGAGCATTTATCTAAGACCAGTAACATCATTCCAAGACCCAAAAAACCTTGATACTCAGACCAAGTCTTTCCACTCCTCTATTCGAAGCCTACTACTCAAGGTTTTAAAGTCTTGAGGCTGCTGAATATATACTATCTTGTGTAGTAGATAGTTTGTTAGATTAGTTTTAGGTTTAAGTTTATTAGTCACTCTATCACAACGTACAATAATAAACGGAGGTCTATCTGATATAATTTAAATGGTGCTGATTACTGTAGCTAATTACTTGATAATAACTGGCATATATTCAATAAAAAGAAAAATATTATAAGATTTTACTAATAAGACAACATGAGCTATGAACATAAAAGCTTACTGTTTTTAGTATATAAGTAAAGTTTTATAGCAATGCATACTGATACATATATCAAATTATCGAATCAAAAGTCGATTTAATTTTGAATCTTATAAATACAACCTGAATACAATAAAAAAGATTTGGGAGCATGCATTTTAGTATGCACTCACAAAAATTTTCCTCACCCGTGATTTATAAAACTGTGTTACAATTAGGATTAGAGCAAAAACAGTGTAGAGTTAAGGTTAGAATTAGAGTTATTGCTATTGGTAAAATTTCACAAAAAAACATTTTTAATTAGGCCACAAAAGGTGGTTTCTTAATTAAAATTTTGAGTTATTTCTGTTTATTTGTAAAAAATAGTTTCGCTTTATTTGTTTACATTACACCTAATCTTGAAATTTGATTGGCCAAAAATCATGAGTAGGGAAATTTTTGTGGGTGCATTAGGGGGTTGGGGTATGCTCAGATCAATCAGATCGAGCAGTTCGATAAGAACGATCAGATCAGATAAATAAGATCTAATCTTATACAAAAATCCTTTCTGTTTTAGACTAAAAGGAAATGTGGCAGATCACAAGTGAGATTGCAACCAATAAATAAGATGCCTAACGCTAATCATAAACTTTAGTAGAAATGATCTGCTGCATAATAACAAAGAAAGATTAGAGAAGGGTTAACATGCAATAAAGTAAATCATCTGATTTAAACTTATCTATCGCTATATATTCAAAAATCTATTCATTATAATATATTAATATTAAACCCAGTATTCACTACTTTCTTCTGCTATCAAAATTAGAAAATTTTACTTCCACAGAAACCTGTAATGATATATCATGAAAAAAGACTATAACAACATATAATTCAATTTGCTTTTTCTGCTTTCCAATCAACTTTAAGGTAGCTTTTATTTTATTTTTTAATAAACCATCCATTCACGTTCCTGGTATCTAAATCAATCTAGCCAGCATTATGCAAGCTGGCTAGAATTACACAGTTGGCCTAAATTATAAAGATTGTACTGTGTAGTCTCTCAAAAATTCCTTGCAGTATTACTAATATGGGGTCTGGTAAACAAAAACACGGCTTATGGCATTATTTCCATCTTGAGAAAATCGTATTTAAATTTTGGTATAACAATAATAATGGGTAATCTATTTTTAGTATACCTGTTGTGATACTTGTATCAAAACCTGTAAATTATGCATGTTAATCTATAGTCTAATATCACATTTACCAGTATAATGTATCATCAGACCTAAGCTACATAAGTACATATGTAAGTACTAGCACTTCTATTGTTTTCTTTTTTTGTAGTACTATTAACTTTTTTTACTGGCAATTTTAACAATTTTTTTTTTTAAATCAGTTTAATTTTTTTGCTCTAAGTTTTTTAGACATTCTTAGAAATCTCTTTGACATTTTGAAGCTGTTTTTTGGTAGTTTTCTGGTAATTCTATCAGAGAGAGGCTCCAAAATGTCAAAGAGCTCTCTTTGGAATTTCGTATTGTTCTCTTCGACATCTTGGAGTTATTCTCTGGCAGTTTCCTTTAAACATTTTGAAGCTGTTCTCTGGTAGGTTTTTTTAGATATTTTAAGCTATTCTCTGGTAGTTCTCTTTGGTATTTTGAAGCTTTCTTTAGTGGTTTTCTACTCTGATTCAGCTTCTGCTTCCAATAAAGTTCTATTAGTTTTTTTCTCAGGCTTGGAGCTGTTCTCTGATAATTTTTTTTGCTGGGTTTGGAGTTGTTCTCTGGTAATTTTCTTCATAGGTAAAAAGCTATTTTTTGGTAGGTTTTCTAGAAATTTTTAAGCTGTTCTCTGGTAATTTTCTTCACCAGGTTTGGTGCTGTTATCTGGTAGTTTCCTACTAAGAAGCCTACTCTAATTCGGCTTCAGCTTCTAGTTTTTTTGCCAGGTTTAGAGATTTTCTCTTGTAATTTTCTTCGCAGGGTTTGGAGATTTTCTCTTGTAAGTTTTTTTGCTAGTTTAGAGCTGTTCTCTAGTAGGTTCTTAAAAATTTTGAAGCTGTTCTCTGGTAATTTTCTTTGTTAGGTTTGAAGCTGTTCTCTAGTAGTATTCTACTATAAAACCTACTCTAATTCAGTTTAGTTTCAGTTTCTTTGCCATGTTTGGAGCTGTTCTTTGGTGATTTTCTTCGCCAGGTTTGGAGCAATTTCTTTACTAGATTTAGAGCTGTTTTCTTAGAAATTTTGGAGCTGTTCTCTGATAATTTTCTTTGCCGGACTTTGAGCTATTCTTTGGTAATTTTTTTCACTGGGTTTGGAGCTGTTCTCTAGTAGGTTTCTTAAAAATTTTGGAGCTGTTTTCTGATAATTTTCTTTGCTGGGTTTGGAGCTATTCTCTGGTAGTTTTTTTACTAAGAAGTCTACTCTAATTTATTTCAGCTTCTAATAAATTTCTATTAGTTTCTTAGAACTTTTCTCTAATAATTTTCTTTGCCGGGTTTGAAGCTATTCTTTGGTAGGTTTCTTAGAAATTTTGAAGTTGTTTTTTTTTGCTAGATTTGGAGCTGTTCTCTGGTAATTTTCTTTGCTGGGTTTAGAACTATTCTCTGGTAGTTTTCTACTAAGAAACCTACTCTAATTTACTTTAGCTTCTAATAAATTTCTATTTGTTTCTTCACCAGATATGGAACTGTTCTTTAATAACTTTTTCTGTTAGACTTTGAGCTATTCTCTAGTAATTTTTTTCATTAGTTTAGAGATTTCTCTGGTAATTTCTTCACTGGGTTTGGAGCTATTCTTTGGTAATTTTTTTTGCTGAATTTGGAGCTGTTCTCTGGTATTTTTTTTGCCAAGTTTGGAACTTTCTAGTAATTTCTTCGTTGGATTTAGAGCTGTTCTCTAGTATATTTCTTAAAAATTTTAGAGCTATTCTCCAGTAATTTTTTTTAGATTTGGAGCTATCTTTTGGTAGTTTTCTACTAAGAAGTCTACTCTAATTTATTCTAGTATCTAATAAATTTCTATTAATTTCTTTATTAGATTTGGAGCTGTTCTCTAATAATTTTCTTCATAGGTTTTTGAGCTATTTTCTGGTAATTTTTTTGCTAATATGAGATTTGTTATTTATTATATTAAAAAAAATTATTTATTTATTGCTAAAATGCTAGTATATTATTTTTTTTTTATTAAAATTTCTTTGGCAAATAATATACTTTTAATTAATGTATAGTTTAAAATAAATTATTATTTAAATTATAATTTAATATAGTTTTATAATCTGATGATAAACAATTTCACAAATGAATTTGCTGTAAAATAGTGCTAAAATACATGTAAATAAAAAAAATTATTTAATTGTCAATATTTATCTCAAATTGTATTTCACATGTATAATCACTTGAAAAGATTTATATGTATTAAATTTTTTTTAGAAAATTATTTTACAATTGTACAATCACATATAAGCTATATAAAATTTGATTAAAAATATATTATTTTGTAAATCATAATTAATTAAAATACTATATAATGATAAATTATGTAGATTATTTATATTAAATTTTATAAATTTATAAAAAATTATAAATATATATATATTTAAATTTTTATAAATTTCATCTTTAACATTAAAAAAAAAAAAAATTTTTTTATAAATTTTATTTTTAAATTTTAATATTTTTTATAATTTATATTTTTTAAATTAAAAATGGAAAATTCTACTCATCCACTATTAAATAGTATTTTTTCTGAAACTCATCAAGAACTTCAAACATTACAAAATAATTTTTTAAATCTTCAAACACATTTTGTAAATATTGATTATGAGAACTCTGAATTAGAAAATTATAATAAAATTTTAGAAGAAGATGAAAATGAAAAAGACAATGAATTTTTATTTATCTCTGAATACCAATTACAAAAATATCACTAAATTTATAATAAAATTAAAATTGATGATGATTCGAAAGAAGATAATTTAAATAATAATAAATTTAAAAAAATCAAAAACAACTAATAATAATAATGAAGAAGCTTTTATAAAACAGATAAGTGAAACAAATTATTGTTAAAATAATTGTTTAAAAGAAAAAATTAATTCTAAAAAAGCTTTTTTAAGAAATTTTAATTTTCATATTTATCTAAAAGTAATCAAGATTCTTTTTTAATAGGTTATTTTATTGGTATTTCAAATTTAAAAAAAAACTTCTAAAGGAAATAAAAGAATTAGAATATATTATAATTATTCTTATGATTCAGAAGAAATATGTTTGCAAGCTTTTAAATTTAGTTATGGAATTGGATCTACAAGAATAGAAAACATTAGAACTCAATTTATTTTAAGAAGATATTAAAGCTAGAATTCATAAATCTGCTAAAAAATTTAGTCATACTGCAATACCTTTTTTTTACAGTTATAAAAATAATTAATTTTATTTTAAGTTATTCTAATAAATAGAGACTTCCATCACTAGGTATATTTTATTTAATTTAATATTTTAAATAAATATTAGATAATATATTTATTAATATTTATTAATTTATTAAGGTCGACATTTTAAATGAGAAAAAATAGAAATTACTTTTTTGCCTGCTATTGAAAATTATACATCTTTATATAGACAATATTTAAATGCTATTCAACAAGATGAAAATATTGAAGAACTATATATTTGTTTAAGTTCTTTTAAAAAATTTTTAAAACTTTTTTTACCTGAAATTAAGTTTTTACTATCAAGAAGTGATTTATGTTATTTTTGTAAAATTATGCAATTTAATGCTGATAAGTGGACTATAATTGAAAAAGAACAAAAAATAATTGAATAAAATAAGCATATTGAAGCTGCAATTAATAAGCGTGAATATTATAAGTAAGTATGATTAAAATTTTATATATTTAAATATATTATATTTAAAATTATTTATTATTAAAAATTATTACTATTTTTATATATATTAAATAAATTTAGAAAATATATAAAAAATGCAAAACTTAATATTTTAAATTTTGATAAAAAAACTATAATTAGACCAGAAAAATTAATTCATTAGATATTGAATTACATTTATCTTGGGATTTTGCACAGCAAGTTCATTTACCTTCTTTATTACAACAAGAAGTAATAATATTTATTTATTTATTTATTAATTAATTAATTATTTAAAATTTATTTTAAATTATTATATTATTAGGGAGAAATATATTTTAAATCTCTTTATAAAATTCATGTATTTGGAATATATAATGATGCATTTCCTTATCAAGTAAATTATAAATTTATTATATTATTAATATAAATTTTAAAAATTTATTAATATTATTTTAGGAAATTAACTTATTAAAGAAAGTAAAATGCCAGAAAAAGGTGCAAATATAGTTATTTCTTTGGTTCATAATTATTTTTTATTACATGAATTAGGAGAAAAATATTTAACTATTCATGCAGATAATTGCCCTAGACAAAATAAAAATAATTTAGTAATAGTATATTTAGCATGGTGAGAAATTATAGGTTATTATAAAAGAATTAAATATTTTTTTATGATTGCTAGACATACAAAATTTAGTCCAGATTCATTTTTTGAATTATTTAAATCAGCACTTGCTAAAGCAGAAGTTGATGATTTAGATGATTTAATTAAAGTTCAACAAACAAATATAATATAGCACAACCTATTTTAATAAGGAGAGAAATCAAGTAGTATATTTTTATAATTGGAGTAAATGGTTAAAGATTTTTTTTATAATACCAAATATTTTAAAATATCATCATTTTATTTTTAATAAAGAATATAAAGGACAAATAGAAATAAGTAAGTCTATTAGTGATAAAAAAATATTAGTTAAAATTCAAAAAAAAATTTTTCTACAAATATTAATTCAAATCTAAAAATTATTCCTCTTCCTGGTTTAAAAGCAGCTCAACAATGTATCTTTTTGATGAGGTTTGAAAACATATTCAGGATAAAGAAAAACAAGATAATCTTTGTTCAGAACCAAAAATTTCTAGACTATAAAATTTAAACTTAAATATAGTTAAGGGGTAGATCGCCCCTAAAGAATATGAAATGATCGATATTTTATAATAAATCATAGCGAGATTTAATAGTAAATTTCTATAGTGTAGAAATCTGGCTTGCTTACATATAAAAGTATTTTTTTTATTAAGTGACTCTTTTATGTTTCTTAATTAAAGGTTGTAGAGCTAATTTTTCTAATTCTAATAGTAGTAAAATTATTAAAATCAGCTTGATAGAGCATAAGATATGAGTATTTTTCAATTGGTTACTATAAAGTTTTTTCTTAAGAATTGAAGCACATGAGATTCCACTTACTATATAAGGTAACTAGTCACATGTCTGCTAATTTTTACTATAAAATTTATAACCTTTAACTGCGGATTATCCCTTAAATTTATTTATTATAATACATATTTATTTTTATTAAAATTTTATATTTATTAATATTTTATTATTTATTATTTTAAATTTAATATATTCTATTTTATAAGAATTAATACATTGTTAATATGTAAAATACCTAGTGATCAACCAATAAATTTTATTATATGTATTTACATTTACTCTAAATACAGTTTAATATTTTTTTTTTATTATATCTTTAAAAAATTAAAAAAATATATATATTAAAAAGTTTCTAAATATCCTTCAAAAAAGACTACCAGAGAATAGCACCAAAATTCTAAAAAAAAACTACCAGAAAATAGCACCAAATCCCAAAAAAAAACTATTAAAAACAGCTCAAACCACCAAAAAAACTACCAGAAAGCAGCACCAAAATCCCCAAAATAACTATTAGAAATAGCTCAAACTACCAAAAAACTATTAAAAATCTACTAAAAAAAAAGCTGCTAGAAAACAAATCCAAACCTGTCAAAAACTATTACCAAAGAGTAGCTCCAAACACACTAAAGAAAATTACCAGAGAGCAGCTTCAAACCCATCAAAAACAATTACCAGAAAACAGCTCCAAACTTACTAAGAAAATTACTAGACTACAACTTCAACCTCACTAAAGAAAATTACCAGAGAACAAATCAAACTTGCTAAAGGAAATTACTAGAGAACAGCTCTAGATCTGGTGAAGAAATTACTAGAGAAAACTCCAAACCTAGTGAAAAAATACTAAAGAACAGCTCAAAGTCTGGTGATAAAATTATCAGAAAACAGCTTCAAATCTGGTATAGAAATTAATAAAAATTTATTAGAAGCTGAAATACATTAGAGGAGACTTTTTAGTAGAAAACTACCAGAGAATAAGTCCAAACCCAGTAAAGAAAATTACCAGAAAATAGTTACAAAATTTTTAAGAAATCTAACCAGGGAACAGCTCCAAACCTAGCAAAGAAATTACCAGAGAAAGCTTCAAAACCCAGCAAAAAAAATTACCAGAAAACAGCTCAAAGTCCAGTGAAGAAAATTATAAGAGAACAGTTTCAAACCTGGTGAAGAAACTAATAGAAATTTATTAGAAGCTAGAATAAATTATATTAGGTTTTTTAGTAGAATATTACCAGAGAACAGCTCCAAATCTGGTAAAAAAATTATCAGAGAACAGCTCCAAATCTGGCAAAAAAAATTACAAGAGAACAGCTCTGAATCTGGTGAGAAAAATTACTACAAACCCAGCAAAGAACTAATAGAAATTTATTAGAAGCTAAGATATTTTTTTAGAAAAAATTACCAGAAAATAGCTCCAAACCTGGCGAAGATAATTATCAGAGAACAGCTTCAAAATTTCTAAGAAACCTACCAAGAAACAACTCCAAACCTATGAAGAAATTACCAAGCTCCAAACTTAGCAAAAAAAATTACCAGAGAATGGCTCAAAGTCTAGAAGAAATTATTAGAAAGCAGTTCCAAACCTGGTAAAGAAACTAATAAAAATTTATTAGAAGCTAAAATAAATTAGATTAGTTTCTTAGCAAAACTCTACTAGAGAACAACTCCAAATCTGGTGAAGAAATTACTAGAGAATAGCTCCAAATCTGGTAAAAAAATTACAGGAGAACAGCTCCAAATCTGGTGAAGAAAATTACTACAAACCTAGTGAAGAATCTAATAGAAATATATAGAAGCTGAGATAAATTAGAGTAGGTTTCTTAGGATAAATTACTAGAAAACAATTCCAAATCTGGCAAAGAATATTATTAGAGAACAGCTCCAAAATTTCTAAGAAACCTATCAGAAAACAGCTCCAAATCTGGTGAAGAAAATTATCAGAGAACAGCTCCAAAATTTCTAAGAAACCTACTAGAGAACAGCTCTAAATCCAGTAAAGAAACTGCTAGAGAAAGCTCCAAACCTGGCAAAGAAACTGCTAGAGAAAGCTCCAAACCTGGCAAAAAAAATTACCCAAAGAACAGCTTCAAATCTGGCAAAAAAACTAGAAACTAAACTGAATTAGAGTAGTTTCATGATAAAAAATTACTAGAGAACAACTCCAAATCCAGTGAAGAAAATTACTTCAAAATTTCCAAGAAACCTACTAGAGAACAGCTCTAAACCCAGTGAATAAAATTATGAAAAAAAAGCACCAAACCTGGTGAAGAAAATTACAAGAGAAAATTTCCAAACCCAGTGAATAAACTAGAAGCTGAAGCTGAATTAGAGTAGGTTTCTTAGTAGAAAACTACTAGATAATAGCTTCAAACCCAGTAAAAAAAATTACTAAAAAATAGCTCAAAAATTTTTAAAAAACCTACCAGAGAACAGCTCCTTACCTGTGAAGAAAATTAACAGAGAACAACTCCAAACCTGACAAAGAAAATTATCAGAGAACAGCTACAAACCCAATGAAGAAACTAATAGAAATTTATTAGAATCTAAAGTAGGGTTTTAGTAAAAAATCCACTAGAGAACAACTTCAAAATGCCAAAGAGAACTACTAGCGAATAGCTCAAAATGCCTAAGAAATTTACCAAAGAATAGCTTAAAAACATTTAAAGAGAGAGAACAACTCCAAGATGTTGAAGAGAACTACCAAAGAACAAAATGAAATTTCAAAGAGCTTTTCAATATTTGGAGCCTCTCTTTGATAGAATTACCAAAAACTACCAGAGAACAGCTCCAAAACATCAAAGAGATTGCCTAAAAAACTTAAAAGCAAAAAAGACAATAAATAGATTAAAAAAATATATTAAATAGTAATGAAGTATTTATTCTTTGGGTAAAGCCCGTCAGGTTACATACATACATACATACTATCAGCTATAATAAATTTAAATAAATGTTTACCTATAATTTATCATCATAACCTGTTTTAACCAGATCATAACTTGTATTTATAACAGGTTATTTTTTAAAAATCTATTTTTAGATAGCTTGTAAAAAGTATATAATATTTAAAAAAGTAAGCATAGGCAAATAATTTATTATATAAATCAATATTTTAAATATCAAATTATATAGTAAAATGTTTGTATTATACTATAGTGTAGTTAACTCATTTTTGCAAAAAAAGCCATAAGCCGTGTTTTTGTTTACCAGACCTCATATATAAAATGATGGTTGACTGAGCTAATCAATATTCCCAGCGAGAGTGCATTATATATAAATCTCTATGTTTATTGAAGCAGTAATGGCATATTGTTATTTAAAAATAAATGATACTTGTCATATAACAAGTCATTTTTGTCATAAAAAAATCATTTATTTTTTTATAACTATACTTGTCATTTATAGTTTATATAAATTTTTATACGAATAAGAATAGCAATATGAATTTTAGCTAATTATTAATACTGTGAATAATAAATATTAATTTTAATTTTTTAACAGCTCTTTATAGTTAGTATATAATTATATGTAATTTATATCAATATTATAAAATATAAACTAATTTTTTTATTATAAATTTCTAAATTTATTTAATTTCCTAATAACAAATCATATAAATCAGGTTGCTTAATATTATCTTGAAAAATTTGTAATAAAGGCCATTTAGCTTATTGGCTAATGGCAGAATGAGCTGTTTTATCTATTTTTATCAAATCTAAATCTTCTTCAAACTGTTTATTTTTTAAAAGTATTAACCAATTCTCAACTACTTCTTTCTAATAAATATCATTATTAGTTCTATTATCATCAACTTGATCAAGTTCCAAATCTGAGTCTTGAGATAAATAGTTTTTTTCTGAATCAGAAACTATTGGTAATAAAATATTAAGATTGTAGATTTGTCTTGTTGTTTTTTCAATAGATTTTAACTTGTGTTCTTGCATAATTTTGCCTCGTAATTGACTCATTTCAAGAACTTTTTTATACTAAAAAATATTTATATTAGTATGGGCATAAAAATTTATATAAGTAATATCAATAATTATAATAATTTGTTTAAATATAAATATAACTTTAAATGCTTTTAAAATTAAATATTTTCAAGTTTAAGTCAGAATTAATTTTAAGTTAAATTAAACTCTTTTAACAGTTGAGTAAATTTGAAATTTGTCTATTTAAAATTAACAAGTTAATTTTAAATATAGCAAAATTTTATTCTAATATGCAATATTTTAAAAAATTATAGTACTATCAAGATTAAA